TACCATTTGATCTGAACCACGTCTGTCTGGTCTTCCAATACCGATTGGAAGCAATACTGAAACATATTTATAATACGGCCAATCCCATTTTCCTGTACGCAGTAACCCGCACTCCGAAAAGTAAACTTTGAAACTGCGAAGTGTACGTCTAGTAATTTACCAATTTTTTCATTTTACGTCTCTTGTTGAAGCCGTTTCGATCTGTAAACAGGCGTTCCCTGACCATACCCTAAACCACATGTACCTTTCTTCAGCCATCCTTCATTATCTCTTAATTTGTCATTTCGTCCTTTTTTACTGGACCTGCGTTGACCCAGTTGGTCTATTGATCCGTCCGTCTGTGTTCTCTCGCCAGTGACCGGTATCGCCTTCGTACTTAGTTATTCATCCCCACCACTCCACGCTCTCCTCAGTCGCGACTCGGTAGGCATCTACCGGTCGACGCACACATGCATGCCCCACAAGTTCATTGTTCCCGTCCCTCACGTGATTGGCATTTTGACCCCGTACAATTGATTGGCTGGCTGTCAGTCATTGAACCCTTGTGCACTTGTGCTTGCCACCTGAAGCATTCTGACCGTTTATCTCGATCGATCTGCACGTGTAAGAAGTCGTTGAGTTGAGCGGCTTGACAGCCACTGAAGGCTCTTTTTGACACAGCAAAACGCTGTCGTTGTAACTTAATCTCTAATTTTGTATTTAAAACGCACTATCTTTCGATTGTGCCTCGACAGTGCAAGCTCGCACTCACCGAATTGTCTCACGATTCGAGGTTTGTAACTTTTATTCGTAATCACGTTTGTCACAATAGTACCGCATCTCAAGATAAGCTCGTCTTCTGTTGACTTCGGGATTCGCGCGTCACTCGATCGTCTGGTCCGATTATCTTAGTTGATCTATTTTAACAGATTGTGCGACGTCGGATAAGCGGCGTGAACATGCACCACTCCGAATGACTGGTCCATCTGACAGAGGTTACGGGCTATCACCCTTACTCTTTCGTAGACGAAGAACGACAACGAATACAAACGATAAGCTGTCGTTGCATTGTGANAGCGCATCAGTGCCAGAAACTGGACGATACCTGTCCTCGGCCGCACGTCCTGGGACCTGACCTGATCGCTTATCATGGGCCCGACTCGATATACGATTTCTGGTCATATGCGCAGACACCGGCCTCTCAGGTTCACGGAATATGTTGCAGTCAGAAGATGGAAACGGCCGTCAGTCACGAACTTACTGTCTTGACTGCGGTAAACGTGTGATCAGTCGGTTTTGTCACATTTTTAGGTAACTAATGTCCTGTTAAAATATGCGGTCTGTTGCGTTCTGCTGTATTGTATCAGTTGAATTGCAGCAAAATCTGCTCTGATATTCATCGTGTAACCCAGTGTAGTATTGTGAATAGAATTCGAAACGTAGTTCCGATATTCGTCGTCCGGTTCAATACCACGCCTAACCTATCGGGGCCAATGTGGTTCACCACTCCAAGTTCCGGGGCTTAAGTTGCCCATTTCAACCACTGAACAGCAGGTCCTCGTGACTATAGGGTTTACCCCGTCTGCCGTTCATCACACCTAGGTGTGTAATAAAAAAAATCGCGCAATATCGATCTCCAAAATAGAACAACTCCCAATGGAATAACGCACGTAATCTATTCGAATTGTGCGTAATTCAATGCATTTAAAGTGTACAATAATCTTATCGAGTTCAGTTTCATACGTCACACTCGCCGCACATTGAGTTGACTACAGGGTTTCTGTAATCCAGCCACTGCTTAGCACTCAAGCGTTCAGACCTTCTTGCGGGTCGATCATTCACAGATAATTCTTCAGTGGTAGTTTGTTGTTAGGCATTCTGTTCATCAGTCGTATCGATTTGCTCAGAATCTACAGAAACTTTATTAGACTCTGTTGGTTCTTCATGAAATGGAACAGACTGACTTGGAGTACTAAAAGGAATTTGATCCACATGTCTTCTGTGTGCAGACAAATCATCCTTGTCGAGCATTTTAAGTATTCTGTGGCCTCAAAATTTTAGAACAATTACTGAGGAAGGTTTCAGGCGATTATCATGGAAAAATAAAACTTCAGAGCAAATAACACACAATAAATTGGATCTCGAATTTCAACCTTTGGAAAGTTTAGCGGTTGTTTCTTTAATGGAAGAATGGACAGAACTACGATTTTGCAATAGGTCAACATCTCTCATGTTCAGAACATGTGGATAGATTCAGAGTAGTAATAGCACTCTCAAGTGTTATAACAAAATTCTGCGCTTTACCATTAGAACAGGGATGTCTGGGAGCGGTAAACAAAGGCTTGCATCCAATGTTACGCAGCCATTCTGAAACAGTTTTCACGGAGGAGTGACTACCAATATCAGTAACGAGTTCGACAGGAATACCCTCCCCGCCGAAAACTGGACGCAAGTCATGAATTGTAAAATCTGATGAGGGTGACCTGGTGAAAAATACCTCCAGCCACTTAGAGAAGGAATCTGTAACAACAAGAGCATACATTCCATTTAGAAATGGACCACATTAATCAGCACGAACACATTGCCTCAGTCGAAACAGGCCACGAAACCCGATTAAATGGCGACTGACAAGCTTTTGGTAGCATTTAGAGTAGCTCTGCTTTGGAACATATGTTGGCATCCATGTATGGCCATCAACAAGCTAACCTAACCAATGGCTTCATCTTTTCTATCCCAAGATGGCCGGAATGCAAGTCGTCGAATGCGGCTTTACACAACGTCGGCGGAACAACAACTCTATCATTCAAACACAGCAATCTATCAGGCGTAATCGTAAGTTTATCACGTCTAGCATAGTGTGATGGGAATCTCTTCTGGATTTGTGCATCTCAACCCTTTTTCAGGGCAGCTATCACAGCGGAGAAATAACGACGTGTGTCACTAATAAGATCTTGACGGCTCACAGGGAGAGGTTGTACCAGCAGCGAATCAGAGATGTCCTCTGAGTCACAAGCGGGTAGTGATTGACGTAAACTATAATCCACGTGTCGGATGTGTTTAGTACTTCGATGTTTAATTGTATAGTCATATGCATTGAGTGAGATGCTCCAACGCTGAACCACAGCTGCAGAGCTTCTGGAAAGGCATTTCAAGGCCTCATGATAACGATAGTGAAACGATGACCGAAAAGGAACTTGTGAAGGCGTTTGACTGCCCAATGTGCAGCTAAGGCTTCGCGATGAGTTTGAGCATAACCTTGTTCAGTTGTTAACCGTCGAGATACACAAATGATTGGATACCCATTTTGTTCAAGAATAGCACCAATGCCATCAGTAATAAAATTACAGTGAATTTTGGGACTGAATTGATGAAGTACAATATTGGTCTGCAGAAAACTCCGCAATTCACATAATCAATAGTCATGAGCACCAGCCCAACGAAATTTGTCGGAAGATGAGAGCAAAAATAGGGGTGAAGCTTTCTGATCGAAATTAGGGATAAATCTAGAATAGTATTGTTAGACTCCAATCAGAGATCTTAGTTTGTGCACGTGGGACGGTGATTTGGGTTTCGTCAGAGGAGGCAGGCTATTTGGGTCAAGTTTGTAACCCTTACCATCAACTAGATATTCAAAACAATAAAAATTAGGAACAGAAAACAAACGCTTCTTGGGATTGACTGCAACGTTTTTATCAGAAAACCTACGAAAGAGCTCAAGTAATCGTACAACATGAGTGGACTTGTCAGGAGCATGAACAATAATGTCATCTTGATACACTAACGTCGGACATACCACCGGTAATGTTATTCATATGTTATATTAAAATATGGCAGGAGAAATGGATAAAAGGTCGAAACTCATCAGTACAAACCAAACGGGTATTACTAGTTGTAAAAATGGGGGTTTCGTCTAACAGTATTTGTAGATAAGCATCTTTCAATTTAATCTGGGAAAAGACCTCAGAACCAGTTAACTTATTCAGAATGTCCTCTGATTCAACAGTTATACAATTCTGTTTTAACAGTCTTGGATTCAGGGTGATTCGGTAGTCACTGCATATTCTGGGGGTCTTGTCATCCAACTTGAGTCGTGTGATGATTGGTGTCCTCCACACTGATGACCGTCTTTGGAACACAATTTGTTTAGTGCATTCACGACAGGTTCACGAAGGCCATATGGAATAACCCGGCGTTTGAGGAAAAATGGATCATCGTTAACTGATAGTTTCATTGGGAGAATTTTCATGCCACTACTGTCCTTGGGGCATTTAATGATCAAATTTTTCAGTTCATTTTCAGTGCCAATAGAGGTTGAGAAGGAAAGATTGACATTTAGTGCTTGCATAGCCTTCAATCCCAGTATGGAGGGGCCAGACTTGATTACGATGAATGTACAGGGGGCACTTTTAGAATGTTCATCACTGAATGAAATCTCACAAGAACCAACAACAGACATTGAGTGTCCAGTGATGCCATCTATGGTTACAGTGGACGGCTGCAGTTTGGCATCTGGAGGAAAAAGTTTTAAATCATGAACAGAAATTAAGGAATCCACACTACCAGTGTCCGAAATGAAACGAACTGAGTTAACAGTGGAACTGAAGAGTTGTTTACGAATATGACCAAATTGGGAGGTAATTGTCAAAGATAAGGGAGAAAGCTGTTTGCCTATGTCACTCACTTCTGAGTCATTGGATTGAATTAAACGTCCAGTTTGGTTATTGCAACACAGACTGAATTTGACCAGTTTTGCTACACTTGTTGCATGCGGCGTAACGGGATCGATATACGTATCTAGAATGACGTTTGCCACAGGATACACAACTGTTATAGAACTTCTCCGAATATATCACATTATGTGAGCGAGATTTCATAGCCGGTTTGAAATGTGCGGCTCAAGCATGAACTAATGTGGATTTGGTTCTGACTGAATTAGACATGGCCGATGGCATAGAGGAAGTAGCGTAGCAAATGTCCTAATATTGCTCACAATGGGTCCGTACCTCTTTGAACGTTGGATTTCACAGCTTCAGAAGTTCGTTTTGCAAAATGATATTGTTATTGCCAGTAATCAACCGATCTTTCAAATGCATATCCAGTAAATCACCACACTTTACAACTGGTGTAAGTAACTCCAAAACGAATTCACGAATACCCTGGTTTGGATTGCGTCCCACTGAATGGGATTTGACCCTCTCCAAGGCTTCAAACTTAGTAGGCTTCACATGCTGTAGAAGGAGCAATTGTAAATCCTCGTATGGCACAGAAACGGGTGTAGCAGAATATGCCAAGTTCTTGAACAAAGTATGGGCACTTTTACCAGTGGCATTCAGAAGGAACGCGGAATTTTTCTCTTTTTCGGGCTTGGAACGAGTCATCCACCAAATTTAAAAACAGTCTTTGATATCTCGTGTACTGCATTTCAGGTCTAGGGGTTCTAACGAAGTCGAATTCATGGTTCAGTAAACCGGTCGCGACACCAAATGTGGAATTGTGAACAGAATTTGAAATGTAAATCCGAAATGCGCACCGTACCGATCTCCAAAATAGGACAACTCCGAATAGAGTAGCACACGTAATTTAATGCAATAAAAGGGTACTATAATTTTATTCCAGCTCAGCTTCATACATCACAATCCTTTTATCCTCTCTTCAGAAACTGTAATGGTGTGTCGTTTTGGAACCCCTGAATTCTTTATAATCAATGTGGGACCCTGCCAACACCGTCACACTTTGTGCTCTCAGTTCGCTCCAAAATTCGCACTTTACAAACGAATCGAAAGAACCCAGAGGATACGGTTTTAAACTCTGAAAAAATCATACAAATGCAACTCTGTAAAAGTTTGTTATTTATAATTTGTATATCTTATGTTATATATCACCCCAATTGGCCATTTGTTTTAACTGCCTTCAATTGGATAATGACTCCACAATTTTCATGTTCACTGAGTGTTGATGTTGACCGCTGTCTATCATCCATCTATCGTTCCTGTGTAACCTATCACCTTTGTGGCTAATTGTTCTTGATATGCCATAATCTTGTCGTGATATCGTTCAGCTGCCTCGTAGGACAAGTGAACGAATCATTTATCGCCCATTATAGGCTTAGTGGCTAACTGAGTGTCCTGAACTGCAACCTGAAGTTCCAATGCATGAAAAGATCTACGAATACCCACCCCTCGATGATTAGTAAAATTATTATTGCATAATTATAATCGCATTTAGGTCGGCAAACTATGTTGTAACTAAGTGAAGGTGATTTTCATGACTTTATTGCGGCTGAAGAGCAAAGCACCCCACAGACTAGTGAGCCTTGCGCCGGTAAGTAAATGACTGAAAAAAAGACATTTTTGTGGTCATGAGGAATGTTCTGTGACAGAACAATATTCCATAGATCCAGTTCCCTTTAGGAATTCCATAAGAGCAAGAACAAACATCATCATAGGACAGGTTGAATTCAACTATTTAACGTTATCTCTTCAGCTGTGTACAAACATTCATGTGTTAGTTCGAACGGGACAATGACAACTCTTTAAACATCAAAAACACTCGACTAGACAAAATCAGTGCTAAGGTCAAAGGTCACCAGTCACAGTCGGGTTGAACAAAGGGATATAGTGGAAGAACATGTTTATCGCTCGGAACGAAGGTAGATAGCATTACCATGGAAGGGTTAGGCTGGTCACATAGTCTAATTGTTTGCAGAGGTCTGGTTTGTGACGCCGAATGTCTACGGTCCAAGCAAACAGTAACAACCGCCCAGTTTTTTGCTGGTTTAACACTCAGAATGCTTGCTTTGCATCCATGCAAAATTTGCAGTCCAATATATGGCGGCAGTAGAGCTGGAGGGGATCTTGGAGCCGTTGAGTGCTAAATTTCTCGGGACGTGTTCTGAAATCCGAGTGGCCAAGCGTCTCCCCATTCTTCCGATATACTTGCTACAGCAACTGCATTGAAATAGGTAAATACACGAAGAGGTAACTTGAGAATTCAGCTTGTCCAAGTTGGATTCAGTGATCATTCGTCTGCTTTTATGGCGAAACGGTGTTGTACGTTCTTGAGAGAGCTTGTTTCAGCCGACATTGTGATAGTTTTGATTCGGATCACCTTTAAAGGGTAATGTGATGGGAACGTTTTTCTTTGATACATCATTTCGCCTACTTCTGGTCTATGTTGTTGCCATTGCAATGAAGTTCCGCGGATATCCGTTATCCTGTAACGCACAGGATATCAGTTCAAGTGTTTTCGCCGAACAAATTCGTTTCGCTCAAGAAAACAAACCCTTTACTACGGCTAGCTTGTATTGGATTAGATTGAAGCTTCTGAAATTCAGATACCGTCCGGTCCAAGTTGGTTTGTGGAATGTAGACCTGAGAAGAGATATATTTTCCCTTCTCGTGATTTTGACATCAATGAATTGAAACGATATCTTAGATTCAGGTTCTACGGTAAACTTGATGTTAAGGTGACAGCAATTTAAAGATTTCAGCATTTCTTTAGCATGATTCTTGTCTTGGACAACAACAAACGTGTTGTCAATATAACGGTTATAGAAAAAGTTTCATGTATTCACTGATCAAGTTTTGTTTCCTCTAGGTGGCCCGTGAATATATCGGCTAACACTGGTCCTAATGGGCCTCCCATTGCCACACCGTCAACTTGTCGATATAAGCTACCATTGAAACAAACCTGCAAGTTTTGTACACAACAGCAGGAGCTTCTTGAGATAATGAGGTGGTACGCTGAGATGACTAGCGTGGTAGCACAGAATGTCTATTGTCTCTTTAAGAGGGACATTCGTGAATAATAAGCAGACGTCATACGATACCATGTGTTTCTTGGAAACATTTAGCGTCACCATTTCGTCCGAAAATTCAGATGAGTCCCTCAGACTGTGTGCTGCAAACTTGCGCCTGCTTGGATCTATCAGTTTGACCAACCAGCGTGCTAACTTTTGGTATGGTGCGCCAATCATAGAGAGTATAGGGCGTAGCGATATCCCTTCTTCGCGGACCTTGGGTAAACCGTACATTCGAGG